TGTGGACATTGATCTTAGAATTTTGAGTAAGAAGCAGTTTAAAACATTTTTGATGCCTGTTTTCAGACAGCATGGAGCTGAGCTATTTATAAGGCTAAAAATGAAATCTCCCATGCATCTTTCAAATTTTAATTTATAATCTACAAGCAATAAATGCTGGAGAGGGTGTGGAGAAAAGGGAACCCTCTTGCACTGTTGGTGGGAATGTAAATTGATACAGCCACTATGGAGAGCAGTATGGAGGATCCTTAAAAAACTAAAAATAGAACCACCATATGACCCAGCAATCCCACTGCTGGGCATATACCCTGAGAAAACCATAATTCAAAAAGAGACATGTACCACAGTGTTCATTGCAGCACTATTTACAGTAGCCAGGACATGGAAGCAACCTAAGTGTCCATTGACAAATGAATGGATAAAGATGTGGCACATGCATTCAATGGAATATTACTCATCCATGAAAAGAAATGAAATTGAGTTATTTGTAGTGAGGTGGATGGACCTAGAGTCTGTCATATAGAGTGAAGTTAAGTCAGAAAGAGAAAAACAAATACCGCATGCTAACATATATATATGGAATCTAAAAAAAAGAAAAATGGTTCTGATGAACCTAGGGGCAGGACAGGAATAAAGATGCAGACATAGAGAATGGACTTGAGGACACGGGGAGGGGGAAGTGTAAGCTGGGACGAAGTGAAAGAGTAGCATTGACATACATATACTACCAAATGTAAAATAGTTAGCTAGTGGGAAGCAGCCACATAGCACAGGGAGATCAGTTCGGTGCTTTGTGATGACCTAGAGGGGTGGGATAGGGAGGGTGGGAGGGAGACGCAAGAGGGAGGGGATATGGGGATATATGTATACATATAGCTGATTCACTTTGTTATACAGCAGAAATGAACACAGCATTGTAAAGCAATTATACTCCAATAAAGATGTTAAAGAAATTTAATTTATATATCACTCTCTTACTCTTTAATTTAAATATCACATTCTTTAATTTAAATATCACCAGTAAAATGGTTCCCACATTGAAAGGTAAAAGCTATGTTGGTTTATTTTCATATTGTAAGTCAAGCAGACAGGCTTTCCCCTATCTGCCCTGTCACTTTGTTAGTCCTGAAGTGATCTTTAAAGAAACACAAAGATAATGTTCTGTTTTTCCTCTAATCTTTCTCCTTCCTTCCTTTACAGTTTCTCCAGTGCTATTTTGTTAAATATACTGGCCCTTTGGCCAGCTTCTGTGATAACACTTTTGTTTGTATTAGGAGCTGGTTGTATGCCCATATTTAAAGCTACAAACACTGCAAGCTTTAGACATCAAGTACTGTTTGTGAGCTCACCTCTGACATTTAATACTAATGATGTGCTTTGTAAATCCAAATGAGGGAATATGTTAGAGAAAAAATCCGAGGGGTCAAACAGTTGATACATATGAGACATCATCCTGAAGTCAGAAATATTGTTTTTGGTTGGGAACTAATGATTGTGAAATAATTGTGAAACTAACACCTACACAAACAAATGTGTTTTCATGTTGACCAGTTAAAGTTGAATCACTTGGAGTGGTATCCATTATGATTTTTCTCTGCTATATTAATGCCATTATATATGTAACTAGTAAAAATATTATCCTCTGGTACCGCACATGTTAATAAGTTAGCTGGGCAAAGAGTCTTCTCTCATTTCACATGCTCAGTTAGTACATTGCATAATTAAAAGGAGCTTTTATTCTAAAGCATGTGGAACTATTTGCTCTTCCATGACACTCTGACAGTGTTTGCTTTTTATATAGGAAAATATATTCTTCCAAAGATGTGAGTGTTGGCTGTGACAGCTGTTACTTACAAACATTCCACGCAGGATTTCTCACCTGAGAAAAGACTGGTTACAGCTGTCAGGGACACATCTCAGAAGCACTGTCCTTCTCTTAAATAAACTGGAACTTGCATAAGACTATATGCTTATAATTTGTGATTGGCCAAAAATTGAAGCAGAGATTTTTCATAAAATGTTAATTTTTATTGAATGTGTTAGACCAGATTTCATACTGTCTATATCATTTAACCTTTTCAACTTAGTATGTAAAAATTACTTTGATGCAAATAACTGTACCTTGTTAAACCAGTTATTACAGTTTTTTTAAATAAATTCAGTTATTATTCATACAGGTTAAAACCCCGGCATTTTTAGATGCCTTAGCTGAGTATTCAGTGGCTCCTAATTCAGGTGTGTGTTCGTTTCAGCTTAGACCAAGAGTTTAAACAGTAAGGTTGTGAACCATAATGTTGCATTTTTCTTGCCCAGCTAGCATGTGAAAAAAAAAATACAAAAGTATGAAATGACACATGCCTGTGGCTATTTATTAAAGCACTAATTGTAAAAACAAAGGACTGGAAACAACTTAAATGACCATCAACAGGGCATTGGTAGGAAAAAACTATCATAAAACCATAAAATAGGTTACTGTATAGCTGTAACATAAAATGAGGAAGTCTCTATACTGGAAAACATAGTGTTAAAAGTGAGAGAAGTAATATACATAGGAATGTATAGTATGCTAATTTTGTGTAAGAAAGAAGAGAATATGTATACTTATATTTTCAGAAATAAGCAATGGAAGGATAAAAATCAAAACCTCATAAAAAATGGTTACCTATGGATTGGGGGAATGAGATAGGAAAGGAAACCTAGGCTTCTCTGAATGATGTTGTTTAAATTTTGACTTTGAAAGCATGTAAGTGTTTTATGCAATTAAAAACAAATATTAATTATGAAAACAGTAGAGCAAAACAAGATTTTTTTTAAAAAAACTGAAACAAATGAACCTAACTGTATATCAAGTTGGTAGCATAATTACATGGAGAATTATTTCAAGTGACTTTAGAGTATAGTGTTTTGACAATTCATCAGTGGAATAAATCCTAAGATCAAAAAGAACCATAGGGCTTTCCTGGTGACGCAGTGGTTGAGAGTCCGCCTGCCGATGCAGGGGACACGGGTTCGTGCCCCGGTCTGGGAAGATCCCACATGCCACGGAGCGGCTGGGCCTGTGAGCCATGGCCGCTGAGCCTGCGCGTCCGGAACCCATGCTCCGCAACGGGAGAGGCCACAACAGTGAGAGGCCCACGTACCGCAAAAAAGCAAAAAAACAAAAAGAACCATAAAGAAATTTTAAACTATTAATTCATCTTGTTAATAGTAATATTTGTCTTATTATTTTGAAACTAATATATATTCAACTCACATATTAGGAAAAACAACTAAGTACTTTTGGTCACATCATTAAGGCCTAATATTCTTAGAATAAGAGAAGAGATATACAAATATAACTCACATTCGATTTTCTTTTCTAAAAGTATGTATTTCCTACCCCACCCACTGAAAAAGCTCAGAAGCGGTGACAATCCAGTAACAACAAACACCCCTACTGCTCAGGTTACTGTCTTTAAGTATCATTCCCCACTAAAAGGAATCCAAGCCCTTTGGAGAAATGGCTATTTCAAGTCTGAGACAGGAACTGTACAGGATGAACCTGGGATATCTTATCACACTTTAACAAAAGAGATCATATCAAAAGGATGCAGGGACCAACATCAAGAGGCTCCCACTACCCAAAGGTAGAATCAAAATATGAAAATGACTACGGTGGACTGAAGTACATTACATATATAAATATTCATGAGCTCATAATGGTCATTTTTGGACCAAAATTGATAAATTAAGGGAAAGAATTAAATATTTATTCTACCTTTTCCTCTAGACTATATTTCACAGATACAAAGTAGTCGATGAAGGAAGTTCTTCGAATCACAGCTAATAAATGCAGGACAAATAATAGAATTTAAAAAAATGACCATTTTGCAATGTCTAATAAAATAATGGAGCTAAGCAACAAACATTATCTGCTAAAACCATGAAGTGAAAGGTTGGTGGAGAACTAGGGTCAGACTGACATCACCTTGGACACACTGATCAATCTTAACATCATTAGAAGTGGGAGAAGCACATCCTGATATGACGTAATAGGAATTACATAGCACCACCTGTGATGTATTCTTTACCAAAAGAAATTGAACCTGAATCTTATCCCTGTCTAGATCTAACTGCTGGTTTACACAAAATATGAAGGATAGAAGAACATGTTAAATGACACCATGAGAATAAAATCAGCAAAATCCAGAATGTAGAAAATTGTAAAGGCTAAATGATCCATTTTCTTCAATAAATAAATGACAATGAAAGGAAGGGATGGTGGACCGTAAGTGATTAAAAGGAATTTAAGATACTTGACAACTAAGTGTAATGTGTGGACCTTGTTTGGATCCTGTTTCAGACAAACCAACTGTATAAAAAAACACTTGGACAATCAGTGAAAATTAAACATGGATTATATAAAATGATATTAAGGAATTATTGCTGATAACATTGGGTTTAAAGATGGTATTGTAGTTATGTTGCTAGTTTGTTTTGTTTTTTTAAGCCCTTATCTGAGATGCCTAAAAAAATATTTAGGGGTAACATGACATTATGTCTGGGATTTACTTTTAAATACTCCAAGTCCACCCCCTAAAATTGAAGTGGGCATGGATAGACTAAATAAGAATAACAGAAAATTAATGATTACAGAAGCTGAGTGATGGGTGCAGATGGATTCATTGTGCTCTTATTCCTTTTTCCTTTTATGTATTTCCGTAGTAAAATTGGAAAAAAAATGTAAAGTCCTCCTTCCAGATTAGCACAGATCAGCTTGGATCATTTTAGCAGTAACTTCTCAGCAATGTTTTAGGTTTTAGGTGAGAGTCTTAGTGGATAGGAATGTTATCTTTGTGGGTCTCCAGGGGGGGCAAAAAGTTTCTATTATAACTTAACCATAATGTCTTTTTTTTTTCCATCCAGTTAAATTTCTTAAGTCACAAAATTACTTCATAGAAAGAACATTGCTTAGGTATAGTGTTGATAACAAGCTGACAAACCAATACCCTCTTTTTTAGACCAAGCCACCCTGGTAGAACAAGTAAAAAGAGTCAAAGAAATTGAAGCCATTGAAAGTGATTCTTTTGTTCAGCAAACATTCAGATCAAGTAAAGAAGTCAAAAAGGTAAGTTTTCATCCAGGCATTATGAATAAGCCTTTAGATTCCAACTAAAGGGATGCTTTATTAATGGATTTTACTTAAATGTAAGTGCTTCCTCTTCTAATAGATGAAGTAGGGTGAGTGTATCCGCATGTTACTGAGAGAGAGAATGAATCAGTAAGAATCAGTTCAAGTTTAACTTGTTAAAAAAAACTGAAAATGTATCTGATGCCATTTTTATTTTAAAGTTCACCAAGAAGGCAAAGTAGAAGATGTCAACATACGGTTCTATAACAGTAATACACATTTCATGAACGTACACAGTTTTCTTTTCAAATGTATACATCTACTTTTTGAATTGACATTGCTAGAAAAAAGTTAGAAAAGAACTTTAACAATAAAATTATTACCCAAATAGTAACATATATTTACACTCTTTGCCCATATGGGTATCACTTATTCAACTCTAATAAAAGGAGCTTTGATTGGCATTTTATTTCTGTTGAATATTTCATGTATTCTTTCAATCATTGTCAGGGCTGCTTTTGGGAATTTGTGTTCCCTTAGTTGGAAAAAGCTGTCTACTGTGAAATACATGTATTCTTCAATATCATACATCTAATGAAGACATGGTATAGCTATCACTTATTCAAAAATACTCTATATCTGTAGATATATTAATGACTGTATAGTATTCTACTGATGAATGTATCATAATTTTTTTTCTTTGATAGATATTTTAGTAGTTGTAAGTTTGGAGGTATTGCATACATGTTTGTGAATATCTATTATTATCACCTTAGATAAAGTTTTCAAAATGGAGTTGTTAAAGGTTAATATTGTTTATTTTCATACCTGTTCCCAAAGTCATTCACCCAAAATATTGTATCGATTCAAATTCCACCTCGAAATGCAGGGAGATGGCTGTCTCTCACACCCTGGTTAACACCAAGTCTTATCAGACTTTTTCATGTTTACTGACCTAATAGGTAAAAATTGACCTTTTGTTGTTCCATTAGCATTTCTTTTGTTATTAGTGAGATGGACACCTTTTCAATTACCATATGTATTTTAAAATAATTCATCATGGGGACATGAATTGATCATGTGCCGGATGCCAGGATGCACTAGACAGCCTTGGTTAATCCATGGTCCTTGCCCTGTTATTTTGCTGATTTCATTTGAATATTTTGTAGTTTGCCACCACAACTCCTGGAAAAAAGGAGCTGTGAAATGGACATTCACAAATATAGTTGCCCATTTTATTAAATATCTTACTCGTACTTATTAAGAAGTCCTAAAAGAATTGTAATTTGTTTTGAAGTTTACTTGCATAGTATTTGTTTTCTGGAGTTCACCTTGACTTCCCAGTTCTCACTGCACACACTTAAGATAACCTAGCATTTTCTTTCTGTGGAAATATTTATTCCTCTATGTTAATGCACTAGGTTTTCTTCTAAACAACTTTTTCCCATTTGGTATTAATTATTAATATAGTAAATTTATTTTTAATTCCATTCCTCTCCTCCAAGATACTAAGAGTTCTTCCAGTAACTAGTAAAATTGGCAGTGAGTAAGGAAATTGATCTAAAGCCTGCTTAATATAGTGGAAAGAGCATGGGCTTTGGACTCAAGGAGATCTGAGTTTGAATCTTAACTTTCACACTTCCTACCATGATTGATGATCTCGAGGAAACCTCTCAACCTCTTTCCAAGCCTCAGTTTACAAATTCATAAAATAGAGCTAATAATTCCTACTTTTTAGAGTAACCGAGGGTTAAATATAATGATTATCAAATATGTAACATGGTTCTTGATCCATAAAATGTTTGTTTTAAAATTATATACTCTAGCATCTAAATTATTTGATATCTAAGTATATTCTGTAAGCTAAGTATGGTGCTTGAAAACTTCTACTACTATAGGCATTCAGACTGTCTGAAGTATAAACCTTACCCCATTTACATTTCTCTAATATGCCCCTTACTTTCCCTGAGTCTCCATGCTCACCAGTAAGACAGACCCCTTGCTGAGAAACACAGAAATTCTTTAGATATCTGGTTGCACCTTAAAGATTTTTTAAATGTAATAATATCCATATATTTGAATTCCAAGCTTAGTCATTTTTTTACCTTGTTTATATTCTCTAGAAAAGTTTTAAAATATTATTTCTTATAGTTACTAATCTTAAGATAACTGATTAAATCCAAGAGAAAAACTCTTCTTCCCGTATCTATAACAAAACCCTATATATAGTTAAATGGGCTTCCCTTGGGAGCAGTTTAAAGGAATTTCACCTACATCTCTCATCAAAGGGACCACCATTATTAATTATTTTAATACTTAGTTTTTGTTTGCTTTAGTTTTTAGTGCTGAGTTGGAATTTACTCAACTTCAATGTAGCTTTTCTTGTACTTCCAACTCAGAATCTACCATTAAGGATTGAGAGGTCTAGGATGGAACAGGAGGCTCTTCATTTTGTAAGCAACCTTCATAAATCTGTGTGAGGGAAACCCACCTTCTGTTTCAACTATCTTTCAAAAAGAGGTTCCCCTTAACAGTAATTCATAGAAAGAAATAAAATCAATCAAAATCAATCTGGAAAGCCTAGAACTAGCTAGTTCTTGGTTGGATAAGTATGACAGAGAAGCAGAAGCAGCCTAGAAATGTTAATCCAGCACTGTGAATTGAGCCCCTTAGAAATACATTTAGTTAAAATATTTTACCAACATTTTTGTTTCTTTCCTCTAAAATTCAAACCAAATTGCAATAAATCTTGCATTTAGCAATTAGGAAGCAGTGGTCAAAAGCATGAGATGTAGACTCAGATCTGGAACCACACTTTGATTCTGCCATTTACTAGTCATATGTCCTTAAACTACATAATAATCTCATTAAACCTTGGCTCTCGTCCCTTAAAATGGGGATAATACCCGTAACAGAGGTTTTTATAAGGATGAGCAAGATACTTTACATAAAACAGTTAACCAAGTGCCTGGCGTATAGTAAGTGCTCAAGGAATGAAAGCTGTCACTACTCCTCCTCTTCCTGCTGCTGCTACCAAGGGCTGTATTTGTCTGTGGCTTCCTTCAGAGGGATTGTAGATACAAGGATTCCTGTTTTGGTTGGGCCAGAGACTGTTTTATGTAATTTTTTATGGTCTATAGATCCTAAAATGCTCCTTATTTGAGGCTTGGTGACCAAGCAAATTAAAAATTACTTTACACAGTAACTTTCTGGTTTCATGTATAGACATAAGCTTTGAACCAATTTGTTTCAACACAGCCATTTGGAAATGTTAAAGCAGTAAGCAAATGATGTAAAACAGTGTTGTATCATAGCCCCACTTTTGTATATATTTAATGTAAAATAACTAAAATAATGATGACTACCATTAATACTAGACATTTAACATTTATAATTTAACTAATATCCTAATAACCCTTAATTATAGCTGAGGTTCAGCAAATTTCATAACCCATGGTCAAACTGCTAATAAATGATAGAAAGCAGCAGCCAAACCAAATTTGTCCAACTCCAGAACTAATCATTCTCTCATAATTGTGAACTCAATGCATATTCCCTGTTGAAATATAAAGAATATGCTAAAAAGCCACAGAAGATGGCATTTACCTTGGTGAATGTACAGCAGTATAAAATATTAGCCATCCAACACTAGACTTACATTAGTCATCGCGTTTCAAAACGATCAGAAGAGCAGTGATGGGCCAACAAAGAATAAATTCGCACTGGACTGTAATATAAAACAGAGGGCCAATTTATTAGTTTAGAAAGTGGTATCCCTTTCCAGTTTCTAAAATGTCTGTGTCTACAGTATAAGGTAAGGATTCAGGATGCCCAAGAAAATGAATTATTTATCAGGAGATGACTTAGCAAAAGAGGTAAATTATCTAGAGGACCATTTCATCCAGGTCATGGGCAGATGTGATGGGCTATTCCTGTTGCATAGCAAAGACTAGCTCTCTTGAGGACTAAATTATGAACCAAGTTTCAACATCCTTCTCTCCTGGACAGTGCTACATGCATTGGTATAAAGTTTGTAATATCTCTGAAAAAGGCTTTTCTGTAACTAGTGACCCCTTCTGTTGGTAGATTCTTTAGCTGTGTTAATTCCACTAATTTAGCTAGGGAACTATTACCAGAAAAGTGACTATTACCAATGACATGCTGGACAGTTTGTCTCCTGCAACACATATTGATTTAACTAGTTTAACTTTGTGCAATCATATTTTTCTGGTGTGAGTAGAAAGATGATCTGATAGTTCCTGCTGTATCATCAACTTAAGGAACCAAGCTTGTTTTCAGACTGCTCTCCCAAATAAGCATATTACCACTTATTCAATCCAAAAATTGTTGTATTTGGCAGATATCCGCCTATGTTCAAAAAGAGGGTAAATAACTCTAAGCAGCATGGTCATTTGTTCTTTCATACTTTTAAGTACGTGTTAAAACAAGTTTTTCCAAACTGAACCACCAGGTGGCAGTGCTACTCAAAGCCAGATGTTTGATAGTGGCCATGCTAAGGGTTTTTTAATAGTCAAATTTTCTCTAACAGCTTTCCTCACTTAAATAAAGAAGCAATTGATGGTTTCCCTCACACGTTTTTTAAATTACCCATTATTAAATAATAACTTCTACACTCTGATCCTAACCCCTGAGAACTTTACCTCTTGTGCATATAAGCACTTTTCAAAGAAAACTTTAATGTACTGTGTAGGTAAAAACAAAATGAGATTACTTGGTTTCTGTAATAGAATGTTATCTCTGCCACCTGCACATGTGCAATCCACATGCTTGGCAACTAGAATAACAGCACTTCACAATTTTTCGAGGTAGTTCCATATGGACAGCCAGTCTCCTAGCTGAACCCTATCAAAGCATGGTCTAGATATGCAGAATGGCATGCTCTTACATTCCCTGCATGGCAAGATAGAGTACCAAAAAATTATGTCCTGGACTTCACTGGACTAACATACTTCCCACTTTCCCCTGTGCAGAATATTGGGCTTTACTGTTACATGTCTTCAGTTTTATAAAGGGTCAGTGTAATATCACTTAGGGCTATGAGTCTTCTATGACCACTATGTTGGAGACATAGAAATGTTTGGGATCTGGGGAAAAAAATATTGGCTCCAAAATATAAGAAGAAAACTGCCAAATCAAATTTACCAAATATTTCTTTAAACAGCTCTATGTAACTTGTTACAATTTGTGATTATGTATATATTTTGGTATTTGTTAGAGATCTGTCATCCCATTAGCAAAATGTAATCTCCAGTTTGGACAGGGAACATATCTTCTTTTTTTTTAAAATTAATTAATTAATTTTATTTTTAGTTGCATTGGGTCTTCATTGCACACAGGCTTTCTCTAGTTGCGGCGAGCAAGGGCTACTCTTCGTTGCGGTGCGCAGGCTTCTCACTGTGGTGGCCTCTCTTTTTGCAGAGCATGGGTTCTAGGTACGCGGGCTTCAGTAGTTGTGGCATGCGGGCTCAGTAGTTGTGGCTCGCGGGCTTCAGAGCGCAGGCTCAGTATTTGTGGCCCACAAGCTTAGTTGCTCCGTGGCATGTGGGATCTTCCCCGACCAGGGCTCAAACCCATGTCCTGAACAAGGAACATATCTTCTTATTCTCCCTCGTGTACCCAGTGCTTAGCAATTAGTAGTGCTTAGTAAATACTGGTTAAATAGATGGATCTCCAACTCTGAGATAAATTACTCTAATAAAGGATTAACTAATTCATGCATATTTCATTTTCTAGATGTTTTCCCCAGTGACCTCTGTTTTGCACTTCATTCAGAGAAGTGGATGTTCAGAAGTTAAAAAGTCAAAATGGAAATGGAAAAACTATATGTGTAGAACCAATGGGGGTAGAAAAAAAAGGCTAAGTAGGAATTTAGATATGTGAAATGTATGTACTTTTGCAATAGTATAGACTCATAAGTGCCAACTTCTTAAGAAAAATATGCTGATTGTAAGAAATAACATTTTCACAGTGTTTTTGTACTTGTTTGCTTACTTTAGGAATAGTTGTTTCTTATTCAGTAACCTAGGGCCATTTTGTGGTTAGTATCATCTCAAAGGAGGCCAACTGAGCAGCTATTATTCAAAATCAGAAATATTATTAAAGCAACATTTTAATTGTATATTGTTATCCAATTAATAGCATGTGTTTTGTGTTTCAGTCAGTGGAACCTAGTGAAGTGAAGCATGCAGCTGCAACATCAGGACCAGCATCAGTAGTGGCTGACCCACCGAGTAATGAAAAAGAAATAGACCCTAGCAGCATCCCTACTGCTATCAAGTACCAAGATGACAATTCTCTGGCCCATCCAAATGTAAGATCCTTAAACCTTAAGAATGTCAGTTTAAGTCTAGTTGACTGAAGTTAATTCAAACTCTTGTCCTTTTGGGCTGGTGACAAGAAGACCATGGGAGGAAATGGATTCATATGTTCCTATTTGCTAAAAATAGGCAGCTCACCCCCAGCCTTTAGAGCTGTTACATGTATTTGAAGCTGGTTTGGACCAACTCATGTTACCTGACTTCTAGGAGATTCTTTCTATGGGAAAGAAAAATGGGCAAAAAGAAGTTTTGTTTTATTTTTATTCTGGCACTAAAAGATCTAATTCTGGCTCTGCTCCAGTTGGTTCATGGACTGTGAGCATGTCATTAACACCACGTCGTGCTGTCTTCTGTGAATTAGTGTCATACCACTGTGTCTTCAGAAAGATTGTAGGAAATAGACTTTACAAAATGAGATGTAAAATTGCTAACCAATGATTTTGATGTTAGTCCTTTTACTCTAAAACTTTCTGAGCATTATTCCAAACAGATGATCTTCAGTTAAGAGGTCATGAAGAGTTAAATAGTATCCAAATCTTGTGCTGAAGGATGTATTCTATAAAAGTGATTTATAAGGTCAAATCTAAGTTATTGGCAGACAATAACATTTTTTCTTCTTTTTTCTTTTTTCATTTCAGTTATTTATTGAGAAAGCTGTTGCTGAAGAAAAGTGGTTCAAGAGATTAATTGCTCTCCGACAAGAAAGGCTAATGGGCAGTCCTGTGGCCTAAAGTTATGTTCATCTGGTTGAATTAACAGTAACGTTGGAAATTTAGGTTTTTAAATCCCAGTATTAACTCTTAAAAATAATTTAGCTTATTATATAAAAAGGTAACCTCATTTCATTCTTTTCTCATGTAGGCTTGAATATTTGTTGATTTGAACTTAATCAAACATTGTGAATGTTAAAACTAGTGTAAAGTTTAAGAATGCATGAAAATGTCATACTGTTAATAAAGCTAATCCTGAAAATATTGGTACTAAGGCAAATGGTACACAGTAGTGTTTCTGAGTACAATTTGAAAAATATCAAGTTGCCATTTAAAGACACAATTTTGATTAGTCATGCATATAGAAGAGTCAAACTATATGCTATAAATATGAGATTTTATCTTCCATGTATTATAAAACTATATTTGAATCTTTTATTTCGCCTTATTGAAAAATTTTAGGCACAACAAAAAGCACTGTAAACAACCTAAGCAGCATGAACCATGTTACTCTTAGAGGAATAATACATTTAGTAAAAAAAAACTACTTGAAAATTAAATAAACTGATGGTTTATTTGCTTAGAGATCAGCTTTTACTAGGTGATCCTTTGAAACATGTTAGCAGGTCTCAGCTCATTCTTTTAAAAATTAGGTCATGCTAGACCTAAGCAGTTGGCCAAATACTCATGATGGGGAATTGTTTCTGAGAAAACTGGTAAGAGCTCTCACTTCAGTGTTACTTAACCAACTGCTATACCCTGCAGAGGAAGCCAGCTAATTGTAGTTTTGATAAGGCTATCTGTCATCGTAGAATACCTTTCTCTGGTAGCTGAATGAAAATCAACTATGCATTCCATACTGAACATGCCAGAAATAAGGACTTTTAGGCCTGCCTTACAAACTGCCTTCAACAGCTGACATGAGTTATTTCCTTTTTCTATTTTGTTCTGCTCGAATTTGTATCTATGAAGACTGTAGCCCAGAACACAAGATCAGCATGAAAAGTTCTTGGGCTAAGATTACCAATATATAGGACATTTTGATGCCATCTTTTTATATTTCTGAAACTACTGAAGTTGTAATCCCTGTTAAAAATGAAAAATATAAAGAACATAAAATCAGTTGCAAAAGGGATGGAAAATAGACTGATGACCAAATACTTGTTTTTATTCAAACATGTTTTCATATTCTAAATATATGCTAGTGGGTTTTTTTTCCTTAGCTATAAGTAAAAGTGCCCAGTATGAACTCAGGTGTGTGTGGTTTTTAACATGCACACATTTTTAGTGATTTTTAAAAGGGATTACTGGTACTGAATAATTTTATATTTCATTTATTACATAACTTATAAATAGTAAAAGGACTATCACCCTTTGGGGAATTATATTTTAGTGGTCTAGGCAAGAATATGGGTTGTCATTTGGGCCACTAGTGATTCTCCAGAGAAGCTAGACTAGGCATTTTCTCCTCAGTATGCTTGACGTTCCTCATTTATAACATAGTGAAAATATTATGATCCTCTTTAATTATATTTCACACCAGAGTTCCTCTTTGGCAAGTAGCCCAAATACTGATGCTTGAACTGCAATAGATTTATATTTTAAAGCTAAATTTTTCATAGAGATAGAGAATCAAGTTATTTTTTTAATTAACTAAACTTTAGTCCCTGCTAAACTCAGTGACTATTCCCCTTCTTCTTGATTTCCAATGTGATTCATTTTAATATATTAATTAACTTTGTTTACCTGCATCCTGTTGAAGACTACAATATTACCACATAAGTCAAATCAAATTTAATGAGAAAGACTTCATAGACCACTATCAAACATATCACCAAACTCAAGGTAGGCGATCCATGCGGGCCTTCTTTAATATCCTAATATAATGACTCTATAAAACAGAACAGTCCCTTTCATGTCAGTTGATTAGTGGCAACAGTTTGGACTTACATGAGACCTCAGAGTGTTTTTTGAAACATTGACTTCACACAAAATGATGAGTACTAATAATACAAGTTTTCATTTCTGAACAAGTGCGTTCTCAGGGAAAATGGAATAAGAACTTTTTTTTTTCTGGCACTCCCTAATTACGAGGAGGCAGATACCTAAGAATATGAGAACAGAACACTCTGAGTCTTTCACCTGCTTCACTTCAGCATCCCAGCAGGTGAAATGAGGATGCTAATAGCCTACTGCCTATTTTGATTTTTCAGTAAAATAACACAAAAGAAAGCCCGTGGTAGAAAAAGTGTACTGTTTATGCCAAGGGAACATTTTGGCATGGTAGCCCATCTTAACGGAAATATGGAACAAATAGTTGCATGGGTAATTATTTGAAAAACTACACTCCAACTTCAGTGTACTCCTTATGTATGTGCTTGAACTGCCATGGCCAATAGACCCCCAGCTTTGCCCCCAGATTTCTCTGATGTCCCTCCCTGCCAAGACCACAAGAAACTCTGATTGCTCTGCAGTTAGTGACCTACTATCTGCTTACTGGAAGGATCTCAGGGCATCTTCCATCAGATTTACCCACTTACTCATTAACGTTTTTTTGACTACCTAGTTTGTGCTAGGCAGAGTAAGGGCAGTTGGGTATACATGGGTGAATCCAGTGGGGATCCTGCCCTCAAGAGGCTTAGTTATGAAGCCCAGACGTGTATATGACATAAGAGATATAATACTTAGTGGCAGAGGAGAGGGCATGGTTGCAAAAAAGAGAGAGATTACTGCAAGTTAGAAAATTAAGAAAGCCTTTGGAGCCACGGGAACTCACAGCTATCCACTTCCACCTTCCTGGTAGCTGCTGTAGGGGTCTGGGAACTGTTGCACTTCCAACCCAAGGAAGAGACCCTCTTGTGAAAGACCCAAGTGGCCCTGCCCTCCTAATAGGATCATGGTCGCCCTCTGGCTTTCTCTGATCATTTCTTCCTTTTGGTGGAGAATCAGCTGAATAAGCTGATTTGGCCACTATCATCAGTTTTGTATCACCACCACTTGTCAGCCAAGATGACTTGAGTGAGACGTGTAATGGTAGCTGAGGGAGACTTTCAGTACTTCTAAGAAAGAATTGCATCTGCCAGTAAGGCCTTGCACAGCAGTGGGGACAACTGTGTGTTCCCTAATCCTCTTTGTTTTTCCATTGTGTGCTATTACAGAAAGCATTGTTTTAGAATGAAAAGATACAGTTCATTTCCCTGTGGTTAGGTCTGTCTCCAAATTTTCCTTTGATTTGGGTATCAAGTGAAAATCTTGGTATCAAGTGAGTGACTAAGATAGTGACAAAAGCTAGAAATGAAACAAGACACGGGACATTTTTGGTCACTAAACTGTGGATGAATTGATCTGGAATTCTTACACCCATGTTACTCCTTCCTTCCCCCACTTTTCCTACCCCCAAATTCCTCATGAGTATGACGGAAGAGGTCTTGAACCAGCTCCTGGCCATTACTCAATGGATACAGTGCTTGAATTATTCAGAAAATGTTTAAATGCCATCCTTTAAATGTAAGCCCTACTTATTACTCTTTGGAGCTCCTTTATGGAATAATGGAAAAGCGAGTCGTCTTGATAAGAAAATATCTGAGTCTTTACAGAAGAACAAGGATAAAAATGAAGATAAGAAAGAACTCTTTGTGAATTCTCTAATCATCTTCACCTTTTTTCATAGAGATGGATGTTGATCATTATATTCTATTTGGTGGGGTTTTTTCCCCAAATCAAAGAAAATGCTCTGTCATCATGTATTTTCAAGTTATTTTTGCTATTACTGTATCCCCAGAATCTAGCCCATGCCTGACACAAGAAGTCTCTCAATAAATATTTGTCAATGAAGGAAAAATGAATTTGCTCATCTTAAATGGGCAGTCTGTTTAGCAGTATGACTAAGTAGCTCAAGCTATTTGGAGCCAGTGCAAAAACAAATAGGTGTCTAGGTATGTACCCAAAAGAATTGAAAGCATGGTCTTAAAAAGGTATTTGTACACCCATGTTCATAGCAACATTATTCATAATAGCCAAAACAGGGAAGCAACTCAAGTGTCCATGGATGGATGAAGTAAAATGTAGTGTGTGTGTGTGTGTGTGTGTGTGTGTGTGTGTGTGTGTATATACACACACACAGTGGAATATTACTCCGCCTTAAAGAGGAAGGAACATGTATGAACCTTGAGGACATTATGCAAAGTGAAATAATCCAGTCACAAAAAGACAAACGCTATATGATTTACGTAGAAGAGGTACTTAGAGTAATTAAAATCATAAAGGCGGAAAGTATAAAGGTGGATGCCAGGGCCTGGGGTGAGGAGAAATGGGTTTATTGTTTAATGGGAATAGAGTTTCAGTTTTATAAGATGAAAAGAATTATGGGGATGGATGGTGGTGATGGTTGTACAACGGCATGACTATGTTTAATACCACTGAACTGTACACCTAAAAATGGTTGAGGTGGTAACTGTGTATATTTTACCACAATTAAAAAAATCTATTTAAAAATACTAAATAAAAAAATAGATGAGTTTTGTGATCAGATTAGTTTGGTTTCTGTGATTTGTATCGCCACACGTCTCTGAGCTGACAAAGGCCTTTGGAATTCCTGGGGGATACAGAGTACCACCGGCCTTGTCTATTACATTAGCGACTAACAACAGTGGGGCTAGAGTTTAAGCAAGGATCTTACTAGTCTTCACTTGCCCAGACTTTCTTTCTGGGCCAATTTTTATATTATATAAATAATGTTTTAAGTGATGTAGATGTGGTCATTCAAGGTCCACCCACTGGCTCCTGTGACTGCTCTTCTTGCAAATGATAGGTCAGTTTTAAAGAAGTAAAGTCTACCAATATAGTAAGACAACACTTTAAACTCAACAATGTACCATTTTATTTTTAGGTCTTGAGAAGGAATGGCAAAATGATCCTGCTGCAGTGCTAGGAGAGAATGATGAACTGAACTGACCCTCTCTTCTTCACATCTTGTAACATGGTACTCCGGCTTAAATTCCAGTGTACAAAACCTAGTATAGTGCAGGCTTCCTTCATAATCTTTTAAAAACTGAACTGCTAAAATCCCATGTCTTGAATAAAATCCGTAACTACAGTTTATCTACCTGTTCGTGTTCCATGAAAATATCATAAGCTTAAAATGGAATTGAAAACAAATAATTGAGAAATAAATAAATGTTTACCACATACCAGCACAGTGGTTTGAATGCCTATATTAAAGATTGGGTAGACTTTTTAAACACATTCTGTAACTGGATTATTTATATAGCCCCATTGTAGCTTTTCTCCTTCCTCTTTCTGCCATAGTAAATCTGAATGACCTGGAGAAGATAACTCATAAGATAACTCATTTATTAATAGTTTGAAAAAATACTTTTTTCAGAACGCTTTATATTTGAATCAGCCGCAGTGTTACTACATGCAGGGAAAATGAGAAGTCATCCAAAATTATAATCTCCCATAAATATACTTTCTCCATGTATGAAATAGTTCATTTCAAAAAAATTTTTATACCTACCATAGAGCATAATTAGCAGCCCAGTCCCTGTGTTATGTAATAGCTGTTCCATCTAAAACACTTAAACTTTCA